ACATTAGGTCTCTCAGCCTGCTCCACAAACAATGAATATGAAGTCCAAAACTTCTTCCTCCTTGCGATTTGCTGCATCAATTTCATCTCTTAATGTTAAAAAACAGCCTTTGCTCCCCACCCCCTCTTGACTGTTTCAAGAGTTCTTTCCTGTGATTTATTGCATTTACAGTTTAAGCTTCCCCTCCTACATGCTTAGAGCTGTGCAGTGATACAGAATCAAAGTCAGGTGCCCACACTTCAACTTTCTCAAGGTTTACCAGGTGCTGAACAAATTAAGAAGGGCTGAGAAACCTCTAAAATGCTGGAAATACTAAGTTCAATGCTTAAATCAAGACATCTGTGTTCAAGTTAAGTTTTCAGCTACAATTCTTACATTTGCTTAAGCTGAAAACACAGTAAGATGAAAATCACTTAAGTCTCTTTTCAATTACTTGTTCTTACTCCTCTAGCACGGAATCTAGATCAATTCCAATATGTGTAAACTGAAGCTTCATGTACTAACATTGGTTTCAAACAAAACAACAACAAAAAAAAAACCAACCCCCACCCACCATTACTACCGGCAACATTCCAGTTTCCATAGCCAGAAGGAACAAGTATGAAAGATTTGTGCATGCTGCTGAGCATTAGGTGCCCATTTTGGAACACATCAGTCCTAAAACTCTTGTGAGTTCTCTTCATGAAAGAGAATCCAGTTGAAAAATGCAGACTTCTCACCACTGATAGGGTATTTTGACATAGACATTCTTTGTTTATGCACTCTCTAGACATTTAAGCTATACATTATGCATTTTTTACTGCAAAGTTATACAAGTCAAATATGATATAGACTAATGAGGCTATTTCTACCAAAGCTGACAGAACAGTTAAAAAGATCACAGCTAGTAGGTGGCATTAAGTGGAATTAAATAAAAATAGCCAGAAAAGTCAAGAATTACTCAGTTGTAATGGGAAGGAGGAATTATGTCTTGAGTCATCTTATTTTCATATGATAAGAACCAAACAGATAAGAAACGTGAATTTGATCCATGTTAAAGTAAATTCTGTAATAACTCTAGGCAGCAGTATACAGACTAAACTATGACAGCAACAGAGCATGTGAATTTTGTGGGTCAGACTACATACAGAAGGCACGTAGGTAGACTGATTAACTGTTGTTACTGAGATGGATCTATTGACAGTTTTGCACACTGCATAAAAGAGTGCAGGGTTAACTAGTTCTACCACCTTTTAAGCAGTGACAACTACTACAAACTCATTACTCAGCTTTCCAGCAAGATCTACTAGGCAGAATATATTAAAAACAAGGAAAAAAATTGCCTTGCAGTTCTGATCAAGACTTACCATCATCTGGTTTCTTCACAAACTTCACCCCTAGTTCTTCAAACCTCTTACAAGCTTTATTGACATCAGGAACAGCAATTCCAATGTGTCCTGTACCAACAAGGTAAAAAGAGTGAAGAACGCTGTACTGCTGGGTGTTCTAGGAAAAAGTTTGCTCAGTTTTTCATCTGGTACAAAAAGTTTACATGCTGTAGTTCACATAAGATAGGATTGTGTATACAAAGAAAAACATCGCTTCCAGAAAGAAAAGCATTTTAGGTATTAATATTATTCTCCTTCAGAAAGCTGACTTTTTGATAATGCTGTTTAAAATAGGAACTTTAGAGTTAAAATATCTCATATTGTTTAGATGTGAATATTATCCAGAATAGAAAAAAGTAAGATTTCCAATCAAACTGTTTTATCTGCATTTTCTTTCTCACAGCATGTCCACATAACAGGATTTTGTTGCATTTGCTCAGTTCAGCAGTACAAGGAGTTTATGATTAATGCTGTATTTGTAGATACTAACACTAGCACTGTGCAAGGCCTGAGCTTGCAAATCAATTCAGAAGCATTAAATGTCAAATAGCTAGATTGAGTATGAAACTGATTTCACAAGCCAGTGACCTTTCAAGCACTCAAAATATCAAATCAAGCCACACAAATACTATCCTCAGTGCTAAAGACAGAATTCTCTTTTTAGCTTAAAATGGGTAACCAGTGGATTATAAAATGTAAATCAGTCTAAACTCCATAATAATCTGATACACAAAAGCAATTACTGTTCTTCATTCGATAGTTACCATTAGCATGTGTTGGCTTGCCAAATGGTTAGATTCTTTCTAAAAAGTGTAACTGGCTCATTAGTCTGAAACACATCTGTTTACCTATTTTCATGATCTTTCACAGCATACATGCTGGAAGGAGAGAGATAAAGGATGAGATGCAACTTTCCTTCTTTCCTAGTGCTAGTATGTTTTCTTCAAAGTAACCTACTAGAAAAGTCTTTTCATCCATACAAATTTGAAATATTTTCTCTACTAGTTCCCATAAAAATAAAGCCTACAACATATACTTACCCAATAACCTCTGCACAGAATTTATATAGATTTTTTTCTAAAAAACATTTGAAACTCCATTTTTCCCTAATACACAGGAGAAAAAAAAAGTAATCACAATAAACCAAAGCTTAAGAACTACAAACACAAAACTAAAGACCTACCAAATCCTCGGGGATCTGAATTGCCATTGTGATAAGACTGACTTTCATCATTTTCAGTGCCCCAGTTGCTGTAAGAAGTAAGTATACATACTGAAGAAAAGCATCAAAATTAACAAATCCTAAATGTTCAGTTTCCTTAGGAGAATAAGTTGTTTCTCCTAAGAAGCCAGAGAATTTCAGCTGTCGACTCCATTCATTAAACTATCAGGATTTTCCCTAGTCACAGGTCCTAGGGATAGCCTGGGGCTAATCCAGTCATGTTCACAGCCCTTCACTAGCATCCAGGTTCTACATTTGAATGAGTCAGAGACACTCCTGTCACACTGAGATTAGAGAGAAGTTGCGCTGCATGAGTCAGTTTATCTACCCATCATTGGGGAATAAAGAGTGAGGGTAGCAGGTCCTGAAGCTAAGCAAGACACTGGGAGATCCTTTCTGCACAAAATTACAATTATTAGTAGCATTAACCAAATTGTCCTGTTTATGGGAAGTGTATGCTTTGACTTAATACCTCTTTTGATTTGATTCCAAAAGCAAGAGTTATCCATCATTAGGATGCCCCAAGGATCCAAATAAAGTTCTAACCACATTGGATTTTCCTAAATTCCATAGCTTCCCTACTCAGATGGCACGCATGCATGCATATATCAAGCGTTATTTCATATTTATGTACCACTGTTCACCTAGCATTTTGAAAAAGCTATGTAAAGAGAAAGCCTGCCAAGTATCCAAGATCTCAGCTGTATTTTAAGGCTATATGACAGTGAAGATGTTCCCACAGTAATGATTACATTTTTTATTCAGTCCAACAGGATTTGCACTCATCCACTTCTGTTTAATCACTGTTACTAAATGTCACCTCTCATTATATTAATACTTACTGTGTCAGTTCAAGCGTAGCTTTTCTAGAGAAGGTCCACGCTGTTCTCTCAGTTTTATCTTTTGGGATATCATTTTTATCTTCATATGCCAGGAAATAGAGTGAGAACTTCATAGTAGGAAAGTCAAACTTTTGAAGCAGTCTAAATGGCAATAATTTTCTTGAAATAGTAACTTAAAAAAAAAAAATCAAGTAACTTGCAAATAAACCAAGATGCCTCCCCCACGGAAGAATTATTGCTATGATTTTTTGCCTTTCTGACTGTAATGCACATCTTAAAATAGCTACATTTTGAACTATCAAATAGAAACACTCCAGAACATATTGCAAACCTACAAAAATTAGAAGAATCACATCCTTAAAAGTCAAATCTCAGTAACTGAATAGCAAAGCCAGTACAAAGGCTCACATCTTGAGGCTGTCACAGTGTTACTTGTCTGTATTTCCTCAGGAAGATCTTTATGTTTATCCACTTTGAAGTATCACCAAGAAATAAGAAGATTTACTTTGAAACTTTTTCATTCTCAGGAGCTCACTGGCACCAGACAAAGTTTAAGATGACAGAAGGATTCAAAAACAAACATACCTTTAGATGAAATTTTTACAATTTCAATAGCTAGGTATAATGATGAAGTCCATTTCAGATGTGACAATTTAATCGATTAAAAAATACTTGAGGTCAGAAAAAGCTGCTTATAAAATTTATCCCTTTGCTAGATGGAAGAAGTCAGCCACTTCCCTGTGAAATATTTGATACATCTCTACTTTCACCTAATTTCTAGAGAAGGTGTGACATACTTCAAACCATTTTTATGTAGGACATTTAAGCAGAAGAAGTAGGCATGCCAAAACAAATCCAATTTCTTTTTCAGCTTACTAGATATTTAATTTTTATTTTCTCACACTCACATCTTCACTAAAGTGGAAGTCATTTATTTTACTTTAGTCTGGACTTATTTCAAGATGATTAAAAATAAACTAGAATTTCATTTTGAAGTAACTCATTTCCTATGTCAAGAATGTGCACAAGCGCCTTAGCATAAACACACTGGGGCTAATGTAGGGCATGTATCTCCCACAGCCTTCTCTAAAAGAATGAGTTTGGACCTTGTCTCCAGCTTCCACTACCTTGGTCTCTTCTGACCAGAGGTGGCCATAAGCCACCTCTGAGAACTAGTAGAAAACTTAATTTCAAGATTTACAGCAATGACTCCTGATTATAAGAACTGCCGTAACAGTTACCAGTTAGCTGCAGGCTCAGTGAGGAAGTAAGAAAGTTGCACACTGATAATTTATGACCTATTTAAGGAAAAAAGAAATTTCTAGTCAAGGGCAGTATTCGTTCATTTGCAGCTTAAGCATTAACTGTGCTATGCGACTTCTCAGAGATGGCCAGGCTATCTGACTGGGCATCAGCTGATGGGCTGGCATTGTTTATTTAGTTAGTCCAATCAGTATAATTACATCAAAATAACAAAACCTTTTCTTTTCAGAAGGATAGTATAAAGAAACAAACTTATTGTGGCATACAACTTCTACTCACGTCATTCCAAGAATTCTTGTATAAAAATCCAGTGACTTCTTAGGATCCTTGACTCTTAACATTGTCTGCTGAAACAAAAAATCCTGTGGGGAATAAAGGTTTATTATTTATAGATCAAACAGAAATTAATTATGGGTATTAACAAAGATGCCAGCTAATAATGAATCTAAAACTATTGTGTTTAGAAGTAACACATGGAGTACATTAAGTATAAATAAACCCTTTTGTTCTGATCCTACACATACAGATTTGTGTTAAATAAATAAGCCTTTGTAACATTAATGTTTAAAACAAATAAACAAAACCCACATTGGTATCAGTCAATATATATTATCAGTGGTATCAAAAAAAGGGTATCATTCCTATCTTTATTATTCTTTTACGGAGCTGTACTGCACATGAACCACTTTGCATGCAAGCACACTAGGCATACGAGTATTTGGTATTGGGCCTCATTGCAGACACAGAATTTAAATAACGCTGAACTCCTGAACTCATTGTTTTTATTTTATTGCAGAGGTTTTGAATTTCTGTCAAGCTTGATGATATCTTGGCAGCAAAATTGTCCTGCAATTCTGTAAGGGTATTTTCCTCAAGCCACTGGATAACTTTATATATCAAGGGCTACTGAACAACTAAGGGGATGAAAAGTGAATGATAGGATACCCTTGACGTGTATTAAAAACACACTAAACTACAGATGTAAAACAACTGAAATACAATTACAGGGCTCTCCTAATAAAAAATAAAAATGTCTGGGGTGCTCTGGGGGATTTTTTTTTTTTTTTTGCAACTCTGGCAGGT